TTTTTTGAGATAGGGTCTTACTCTGTCACCCGGTTAGAGTACCGTGGCATGATCATGGCTCACTGTAGCCCTGAACTCCTGAGCTTAAGCAATCCTTCCACCTCAGCTTCCTCAATCACTGAGATTACAGGTGTGTGGCACCATGCTTAGCTAATTTTAAAAAATTGTATTAGGCAGAGACAGGGTCTTGCTATGTTGCCCAAGCAGGTCCTCAAACTCCTGGCCTCAAAAGAACCTCCTGCCTTGGCCTCCCAAAGTTCTGGGATTAAGAGCGTGAGCCACCACACTCAGCCTATTAATAACTTTAAGACACTAAATCATGACTGTCAGGGCCTTTGAATTGCTTGGGTTCAGCTTTCCAGAATGCCCTACTGCACTCACATGAAGAGTACGAGCTGGACGACAGGAGCCTTTCGGAGCAGTTCTGAGAAGGAATTGACAAAGAGGTCATAGGACAGCAGCAGGAATTGCAGAGAGAGCACAAGGCTGTAGTTACTGGTCTGGAGCATCTTCCTTCTGTTTTCTTGGGCCCCCAAGGGCACATCCCACAGTTCCCCAGAAAACAGCTCCTGGTTATCTCCCCACTGCTGAGGGAGAGGCTTCTAGTTCCTTTGAATCAGAGCTGTTTCCCTTGCTTTAAGGCAAGGACCTGTTGGGGCAAAAAGATAAGCAAGGTTAGAAATGTATTAAGACTGGGCTGGGCACAGTGGCTCACGCCTGTAATCCCAGCACTTTGGGAGGCCAAGGCAGGCGGATCACCTACGGTCAGGAGTTTGAGACCAGCCTGGCCAACATAGGGAAACCCCGTCTCTACTAAAAATACAAAAATTAGCTGGGCGTGGTGGCTTATGCCTGTAGTCCCAGCTACTTGGGAGGCCAAGGCAGGAGAATCACTTGCACTCAGGAGGTGGAGGTTGCAGTGAGCCAAGATTGTGCCACTGCACTCCAGCTTGGACAACAGAGTGAGACTTCATCTTAAAAACAAAAGAAAAGAAAAGAAAAAAAAGAAATGTACTAATACCACAAACACTAAGGACCTACTGTGTGCCAGGCACCATTCCAGTTGCATGGGATACTTTAGTGAACAAAACCAGCAACCAAAAAAACCCCAAGAAGTCATTTCTTCTAGGACCTTCGGCAACCTTTCTTCATGCCTGGACCCTTCTAAATGCAGAGCTGTCTCTAACCAAAGGAATCCAGTTGTATTACTCAGAAGAAAGACTGCCTGGTCATGTAGTAGCATTGGTAATAAAAATGGCAACAAATCCTTATACACTGTTACAGTGTGCCAGGGAGTGTTCTACAAGCACAAACATTATTTAAACCTCAGGAGGTAGATGAAATAATATGTTATTACTTTCCCCATTTTACAGATAAGAAAACTGAGGCCGAGAGAGGTAAAATAATTTGTCCAAGGTCACATCGTTAGTAAGTGGCAGAGCTGGTATTCAGATGCACGCAGCCTGGGTCCAGAGTCTGTGCTCTTAACTACCGGACTAAACTGTCTCTTTCTTAACTGATATACCGATATTTAGGCAGGAAAAATGCTGGCACAAAAGTGTGAAGTGCCTACAGGCAGAAAAAGCAGAGAGGAAACGGGACTCTCCTGGAAAGCTTTATGTTTAAGGTAGCAACACAGTGGCAGCTGTCTTCCTTTTCATCTATTCCAAGACCCACAGGTTGCTCTGGGGGTGTCCTATGACCCTCCTGCTGTGCCAGATCTATGAAGAGATTTCAAAATGCTTTGGACTGTTAGTGATTAAATTAGCATCTGTAAAATGCTTTGCAATTTATAAGCTCTTTTCATATTTCTAACCTTACTTAATCCTACAACCATCTTAAGAAGCCATTATAATGCATATAATCCCCATTTTACACAGAGGCTCTGGAAGGTTAAGGCACCGCCTCCACCTCAGCTGGTGAAGTCCCACCCACTAGATGTATGTAACTGGTTCCCACATTCATTAAATAATATATATACATGTATTTTTGAGATGGAGTCTTGATCTGTTGCCAGGCTGGGGTACAACGGCGCGATCTCGGCTCACTGCAACCTCCGCCTCCCGGGTTCATGCGATTCTCCTGCCTCAGCCTCCCGAGTAGCTGGGACTATAGGCACGTGCCACCACGGCTGGCTAATTTTTTGTATTTTTAGTAGAGATGGGGTTTCACCGTGTTAGCCAGGATGGTCCGGATCTCCTGACCTCATGATCCGCCCACCTCGGCCTCCCAAAGTGCTGGGATTACAGGTGTGAGCCACCGCGCCCGGCTGCATTAAATAATAGGTACCCACACCACGATAATCTTGTCAACCAAGATCATTTCCTTCAATCCTCCCTACAACTGCAAGGTGAGAATTATTACCATTCTACAGGAACGGACACAGGAGTCAAAATTCAAGGCATTCCTCCAGATCTGAAGTCAGCAGAACCGGGCTTCATAACTAAGTGTGACGCCAAACCCGTGCTCTTAGCCACTACTCACTAGGGCTGTTTTGAGGATCCGTTATGCAGAGACACCCAAGGCTCTCTCTACGTACAACGATCCTCTCCCGTTTAGGGCACTGGGGATTCGCAAGCTCATGAAGCTCTTTAATTCGTCTACCGCTACCTGCCGCCTTCCCTTTGTACCCAGAGCAGTATTCCTCACGCCTCCCAATCCACTTAAAAACGGGGCTTCCTTGGCAAACAACAACCACAAAGCATAAAACCCAAGCCCAAAACAACAGCACCAAAAATTCTGACTTCTGGTCACTTAACCCACTCTTCGTCAACCACTCTCACCTCCAAACCCCAACGTCGGTTGTCATGGGGACACCCTCCCGGTTTCCGGAAGCCGGCTTTAAATTCCGGAAGTAGATGGCGGACGCGGGCCCCGTCTTTCTCTCTCGGCTCTGTGGCCAGCCCGGCCGCCATGTTGGAGCTTTTGCTGTCCTGGGCCTGGCCTGCTCCGGGCCCTCACAGCGTAGCCACTAGCTGACTTAGGGCTCCCACGCTGCGCGCGACCTTGCTGAGGGCAGGCTCGTGGTGGGAGGCTTCGCGTTCACCTGAACATTTCCGCCACCTCAGGATGGAGTATGACGGGCGGGGCTGATGCATCGCAGCAGTCCTGGACCCTGACTTTGGATTTGGAGAAGAAACGCCCGGGAGGAACCGGAGTTAGGGTGCCAGCACCTTGGCGTATTGGGAGCGGGCCACCCCGGGTTCCGGACTTCACTTCCCAGGAGGCCTCGCGCGCCACCGGACATGCTGCGAGCCTATTAGAAGGCGAGGCTACGCCCGCCCCTCCGCTTTAGAGTGGCATTGCCAGCCAGTTGTTCGGGCAGGTGTCTTCTGCATCTCCTAGGAGCCTCGGGAGCTGTAGCTCCGGCGCCTGCTGGCGAGAGGCGGGTTCCAGAGATCCCGACCCCACTTCGTCCCTCTGTGGTTAGGGGTGAGAAAGAGTCCGGGCTGTGAGTTCAGGGACCGGGGTTCGAATGCTGGCTCCGCTGCTATCTCGCTTCGCACTGTCGCGACACCCTTGCTCGTCCTCAAGTTTCTCTTTTAGGAAGTGGGCACCTTTCTCTGCGCTCTTTCTTCCAAGGCAGTGGTTATAAAGGCACAAAAGCTCTTCAGAGGGCGCAGAAAGACGGAGCTTCTCGCCCCAATTTTCACCCATTGTTAGCTGGGACAAGCAGCCCGCAGAGGGGCCAGGGATCACCCCTCGAGTGCCTGGAACGGTTCTTTGGACGCCTGAGCCGGACCTGAGCACAGGCTGAAGTCTGGGTCTATAATTATTCCAGCGCTAAGGGCAACCTTGTTTACCTACCTCCTTGGCTGGAATATTGAACTCCTCACTCCTGAGTTCCGACTTTAACAGAAGCTACCTTTGAGGAGAAGGAATCCTCAGAGCTGAGAGGGAGTGGACCCAAATTCCTGTACCAGCTCTGCCACTTTCCTTGGCCAAGTCATGTTCTTGTTTTGGGCCCTAGTGTCACAGTGTTTTTGATTTGTAAGATGAGAGTTTAGGACTTGTATTCTAAGTCTGGTCCTGAAGATTCTTAAAGTCCCCCAGTCCATTGGGGAGGTGAGCAACAACGATTTTCTGCCCTTTCGTTTATTTGTAGTTCTAAATTATAAAAGTAATGCTGTAGAGCCTTTTTCTAAGACTAAGGGGATGGGAACTAGCATTTCTTACCCCTGTACCTGACCTGTTTTAGCTCAGCCGGGAGAATCCATTTTGTCAAGGAATTAATAATATTTTGTGATGTGAAGATTATCTGAAACTCAGGCTTCAGTGTCCCTAAATAAATATTACTGGAACACAGCCGTGCTCAGTTGTTAAGATATGTATGTGGCTGCTCTTTCACAGGCAGAATTGATGACATAGTTGTGACAGAGACCATGTGCTCTACAAAGCCTAGAATACTGACTACCTGGACCTTTACAGAAGAGCTTGCTGACTCTTGCCTTAGAACAGAGCCTCCTGGGGCTCTGCAAAGTGAGGGCACAACAGGAGGCCAAAGCATGGTGAGCACACCCTGGGATCACAGCCCAAACTGACCTCTTAGAACAGATGAGAGGATATTTTCAAGCATTTGCATTGAAGTTTTCACTGCTTTTTGTTTGTTTTTGAGACAGTCTAGCCCTGTCACACAGGCTAGAGTGTGGTGATTGGATCTCAGCTCACTTCAGCCTTTTCCTCCTAGGCTCAAGCCATCCTCCCACCTCAGCCTCCTGAGTAGCTGAGACTACAATTGCACACCACCACACCTAGCTAATTTTTTTTTTTTTTTTTTTGGTAGAGATGAGGGCTCACTGTTGCCCAGGCTGGCCTTTTTTTTTTTTTTTTTTTTGGTAGAGATGAGGGCTCACTGTTGCCCAGGCTGGCCTGGAACTCCTGGGTATTTATGTATTTATTTATTTTTAGAGTCTATCTCTGTCGCCCAGGCTGCAGTGCAGTGGCGCGATCTTGGCTCACTACAACCTCTGCCTCCTGGGTTCAAGCAATTCTCGTGCCTCAGTCTCCCAAGTAGCTGGGACTACAGGTGCATTCCACCGTGCCCGACTAATTTTTGTATTTTTAGTTGAGACAGGGTTTCACCATGTTGGTCAGGCTGGTCTCGAACTCCTTACTTGAGGTAATCCACCAGCCAAGGTCTCCCAAAGTGCGGGGATTACAGGTGTGAGCCACTGTACCCTGCCTGGAACTCCTGGGTTTAAGTAATCCTCTTGCTTTAGCTTCCCCAAAAAGTGCTGGGTTTACAGGCATGGATCACTTGCTGGCCCTTCACTGCATTCTTCCTTTTCTCCTGCTTTGCTCTATTTCAGGAAGTAGGAGGGCTTATCTGTGTATTGTGAGCAGAGAATTTTATAACTTTCCAGCTCTCTGTCAGGAAAGTGTGCTCAGGGTCTATTCTAAGTCTGTCACAGAGCAGTAAACCAGGACCTTTTCTACAATGTGGCTACAGATCCTTTTGGACTGCATTTAATTTTCCTTTTGCAAAGAAAAACAAAACAGTGTGGAAGTAGATACTGTCAAATGAGTGGGCCTGATGATCAAGATCTCTTATATTTCAGTGAGGGATGGAGAGTGTTTTAGGTGAACATCTGGTGACCTGAAACGTCCTCTGTCCTTGGAGGAATTGAGGGGGCAGTTCTGAGGCTGGGTAGCAAATCTCTGAGTTACACAGTTGAGTCATAAAGCTTCTAGGAAGCTGGTGGCATGATTTTCTCCTGCCAGCTTCAAGGAAACTTTTCCCTCCAGCCCTTGGACCTTCCTTTCTTTTTTTCTTTTTCTTTCTTTTTGAGACAGTCTTCCTCTCTCGCCCAGGCTGGAGTGCAATGGCAC